ATATGACCTAATAATAAAAATAATTTTTTGTGATAGAAACAGTGTTAACTACAAAAAGCAAAATTGTTATTACTTTAAAAAAATAAGATAATTGCATGCATCATAATAATAATATCGTTTATATGTTAAAAAAAATATCGACAGGAATTTAGAAACGTTCCGCACGTATAATACAGACACCTACAACTCGCGCAAATAATTTTGTAATCCTAATTGAAATGTTGTGCTTCCGATAGTATGACTGATCATGCGAATTACAGAGGCACCTGAAAACAATATGACACAATATGTTACAATTTATTTCTAATATTTTACAGTAAGTTATGTCAGTCTTTCAGAAGTCAAATTTTTACGTTTTATAAATTTAAATAAAAACACAAATTTTAATCAATATATAACTTCAATGATTTTTTCTATTTTTAATTTTATAGAATTAATCAATATAAGTTTTATAGAATAAATTTTATAGAATTATAAGTTTAGCATTTTACAAAGTTAGACGATCATATGTAAAAATATTATTATCTACTGTCAGATTAAAAATTATTTAATAAAAGATTAAAAGATAAAGTAACGTAAGAAGAAAATATCTTGCATGTATCTTGTGTTTGCATTAATATTATTTAATATTATTAATTTTAGTAACATTAATATATTAATAAAATTAAAATTTAAATTTAAAAAATTATATTCAAATAACATAATTAGGGGTTTGCACATGTGTAACTTTGGATGTAACGTAGACCATAGGTTAACAAAACACAAATTTTAACGATTTCCTGTAATCGCTATTTTAATTAAAATTTTAAAAATATAGCAGAAACGTGGACAATTAATTGTAATTCTTACGAAATTGTTAAATATAAAAAAATGAAAACAACACACAATATTAAAAATAAAAATGTTGAAAGCTAAATCCGCCAGTGTGATTAATTCTAGATATGTATGATTTAAATAAATAATCATTTTTTGAGGATCTAAATCACATGATCGAAAGATAATCCTATCTATTTTGCAAGATTATTATACACGCTTACAGTGATACGATTAATGGATTACGTAAGAAATAAATGACATAGTACTCATAAGCGATCAAAGATGAATACAAATTAATCACATATATTCATAAAATATATATGGCAAAATTTTTACATCTTTTTATTTTGTTCTGTTTGAAAATAATTATAAATTATTTAAATTAAAAATTATTATCTAAAAAGTTTAAAAATTATTTAGAATTCTTTTTTATTATTATTAATTTAAAAATTATTATTCCTCTATTAATAGAAACATTTCTTTAATGTAGATACCATCGAATTTACGTAATATAAAATATGGAAATATAAGTATTCTATACGTAACTATACCTTTCTTATAGGAAACAAAATCAAACAAAGCCATAATGCTGTTACGATCCCCGACCTCTTGACCATTCAATGTGCGTGTATGATTGTCGGAATCTGCGAGCAGTGTCGGCTGCAAGCAATCTACTGTGAATACATTCATCATTCTCAAATCCGATTCTGCTAAGGACACGCCAAAATATTGGAAATATGTGGCGAAGCCCTCCTTCAACCAGACGACATCCCAGAATACGGGTGTCACCAGATTACCGAACCAACTGTGAGCGTACTCGTGAGCCATCACTGATAGTCCGTTCACTACTTTTCTCGTCGGTGTTCCATCCTCATGTAACACTACAGATTCTCTGTAAGTAATGAGGCCCCAATTCTCCATCGCATTGAAATTGAAATCCGGTATAGCAAATTGATCGACCTTCATGAGCGGACTTTTCACTAATAACCACGTCTGTAACGCCGAGTAAACTGCCCAACCGCGATTCAAGGCCATCGATCCACGAAACTTCATGGAGTCTCTTGTCCACATTTTGAAGTCCCTCGAAATTTTTGATTGTTCCGAGACAAAGTTGTGTACTATCCATCCTACCAAATACGTGGGCATTCGCGGTGTACGGCGAAATGTGGTCACACAATATGTATCATTTCTATAATAATTTTTACAATAGTAAAACTATTTTTTTAAAACTTTTATTTACTATTTCACGAATATCTTTGTATACGTTTTTAATTTGATAAGATATTGGAAAAATTATATACTAACTCTATTCGTACAGATTGCACTGGAGTATTACTCGTCACATTTTGATCCTTATGATGGCCAATATGCAACTGAAATTCCGCTTTTAAATAAGGCTCGTCCATACAAGGGAATGCACGACGTGCGTACGTGGGCGAAAATTGTGTTACACCAATTCGTCTAAAAAATATAACAGTATAAAATAAATTACAATAAATGTAAATTACAATAAGTGAAGTGTTCTCATTGTTACAAACAGATATCTTTAAATAATTGCTTTGTAACTTTTTATTAACTGAATGAACGAGCAACAAAATTATAATTAAAGTATATGAGATTATATACAATAAACATATATACATAATTTTAAAAAATCTTAAGGAGTTCACATACTCAGCATATTTTGACATAAACTTCTCATTATATTCGGATTTTATTTCGACTACTTGCCCTGTAGCAGCTTTAAAATATGACACATACAGTATGTCTTAAAATTCCACAGCAAGAAAATTCTTGAAAAAATAAATTATAAAAGTATTTGTCATTTATCCTTCTAAAAAGTAATTTTTGAGAAACAGAAGTTTAAAATTAGCCAGCAATTACGGTTAATTACGATTAAACGACCGTCTGTGAATCAAGCATCGACACTAATACTATAATACTGTAATCTATAAGTGGCAAATATTTAATCTTTAAGTTTTAAAAACTACCGCTCAAAAAAAGAAATAGTAAATATTTTTATAACTTATTCTTTTTTCAAAAACTTTCTTGCTGTGATATATCGATTCGCGAATTTATGAACATCTTGTATAACAGTTCTCTCTCAGAATATTACCTTGGTCTTCCATTAATTTCGTAGAGACTTGCGTAAAAGCCGAATACATCATTTGCGATACGTCCTTTGAAGGATACTTCTAACATGTATTTCGCAGGGTCTAGTGCGCGTTCGAGTTTAATCGTAAGCATTTGTGTATCTTCGTCATGGGTGTAACGCAAAATCCGAGTCAACCTGCTCGATCTATCAAATAAAGATGCATTTGTTTGTATCTTTAATGCATCCGTGTGCAGCACGATCAAATCTGTTTTTTCGAGCACTTGTAAGGTGATCCGTACGTGACCATCGTAATCCGCGTCAATCGGATGTGTATAGATCGATAGATCATAGGATATAGGAACGATTTTCTTGGGTAGTCGATACCGTGCGGAAATATGACTCGAATTTTCATTTTTATTCGTGCCGTTATCATATGCAAACGTTAGACTTAAAGCGACAAAAATAATTAATATAAGCAAGAAAAACGGAGAGTGATTAGACATGATAATCTGTCAGTATACATTTGCTCAATCGATTTTTAGAAATCTTCTCAACCAATTTCTTTCGCTTATATAAAGTTCATAGAGAGGTATCACCTTATATACATGTGTAGGTATATACCCACTTGACAATGAGATAGGTAAAAATTGACACATGCATACACACGTTCACGTACGGTCACATTCGCGTGGATCTAAAATACTAGTTCTGTTCCTGCTGATACTGCCACAACGTGATATTTTTAATAACTTATTGCACAACACAATGGTTAGCAATGATTACGGTGCGTCGCTGTCTTAAGACTATAAATGTTCGGAATTATTGCGTATTTGTCATATTATTTGTTATTAACAGTCTCTTTCTATCGTAAGTAGATCATCATCAACTTTGATCAGACATATAATGAGATAATATTTGTGTCTCTGACAATGGCGATAACAAGTTTCAGTGAGAACACAGTTGAATATACTTACGCTATCTGTAATATTATTAAATGTTAATATTAAATGATTTTTATATTGGCATAGCAATGTATAAAAAATGCGAAAAAATAGGAAGAGAGGAAAATTTATCTATATCAAATAATTATTTGTAAACTGTATAAAGTGTCGGATATATTGTCTGGATTAAAGAAGTAATCCAGAAATTATTTCCATTTCTTATCAAATGGAATTCCCGGTTATCTGAAGAATCTATATAACTAATATCCTTTCTTTAATTTCTGCTTCTAATATTTATTTATTTGAATTCGATTTATTGTTTTATGTCTCGATTTATTGATGGGTATTACTCGTATCATTCTTCATTCAATCGAGATAGTGGCTGCTAGTTGGTGACAGTGTTGAGGTTTTAGGCACAACTTGCTGAGATTTGCATATAATTGCCGTAGGCTACATGTCTTGCCTTTAGGCTGCGTTGAAGTTTACCTACGTTCTATACACCTTGATATTGGAAATCTAAGCGATACCTTAATTTTAACCTTTAGTTATGATTCTCGGTAAGTCTCTATTTATAACTTATTTACAGGGAACATTTAAAAAAGAAAAGTAAAATATATTCTGCAACCCTTGATAAAACTAAAATTAATTAAGAAGATACAACTATATTCTAATAAATTAAACTTATGTGCTCTTTTGCAAATGCTTAAGTGCTTCGTAAAACAAAGAATCCTTTCCGATAAAGCTCGCATTGATATTTGATTATACCTTTTGTCGACAAAAGTATTATTTTTCAATGAATATCTTGATAATTATAAGCATTAAATCAACATGTTAAGTACTGGTCTTTCTCGATGCGATATAATCTTTGTATAATCATTCATTTTGCTTTAAAAATAAGAATAAAGAGAATTGACAAATTTATGCACCATATGAGATAAATTCATATTTTCATAGAAAGAGAAAGAGAAAGAATTCAATGGACATTTTTTACATGTATTATAAAATTTACTTTTATACTTTTAAAATAAAAAACCGATTTCTTTCAAATAATATGTTATTGTTAAATTTTAATAAATTCTGCTGGTATTACTGAGATTACACAGAAAAATTGTTTCATTCTATCTATGTAAAGTAAATTTAATTATGATTGCTGCCTTATATTATTTTATCATGCATTTCTCAATCTGTAAAATTAAAATAAATCCTATAAAATAATTATCTATTTATTCAATAAATTGATATTTCACATTTTTATATTTTAATTTCTGGATTTTAAAATTAAAAAAAGTTATTAAGCATACCAATTTTTACAATACCTGCAGTTAGTTTTTAATACGGAACACCACAGCTATAAGTAGTAGGAATACACTACAGACTGCGTCAAATGGAGAGCGCGTATATGTATAATTGAAAGGCTGACACGGCGGATGACTTGAAGGAAGTTGCAGTCATGATTGGCCTGCATAATGAAGAAGCTTGAACGCCATTATACTCGATGGCAAGCTTAAAGTTCCAGTACCAACCAGATAGGTACCTTGTGACAATCCTGAAGCGTTGAGAAACAATCCCTGGGAAAGTTTGTTCGGGATACTCCAGTCTTCGTATGGATAAAACGGTGGACTGCGTATGTGTTTGCATAATTTTCTCCTTTGCAAATTCGCCTCTCGAGAGTTAGGATACTTTGAAATTGTATCGATGATGTGCGAGTACATAATGTGGTCTCTTCACACCAGTATACTTCAATTGTTTTAAATTAATAGGCTGAAAAATATCGCTTCGCAATGTTCTTAATACGTTTTAGCAATTATTAGAATGATTATTAGAACACTTGTCGCCTAAAATAAATATTAGTTTTAAATATATCTAGAAAAGCATTATGTTTTATGTATTAATTATATATATTTATATAATTAATATTTATATAATATATATATCTAAATAAATATTAATTATAATTATATCTAAACAATATTTTCATAATACTTCAAACATTTGGTGAAGCAACATGATGAAATTAAAATAGAATATTTGATAACATTTTGTAGAACGTTATAACAATGTAGTTCTTTATACAAGCCATGTTTCACAAAGAAAATTCACCGAATGGATAAAAGTACGCTTTAAAAATTCGAAAATAAACGATCTTCGGAGTATAATGCTCATTGAACTCACTGATCAAGTTATCATTAAATAATAAATCGAGTTATCATTAGATAATAAATTTTATCATTCTTATCTCATGAAGCAAAATCCAGTATATTTGCAGCTTAAACAGCTTAAAGCTTAAAGAAAACAGTGCGGGACAACCAGGTATTTAAAAAGTTTTAAATTTTGCGAATTGTTATCTAATTACAAGCGTTATATAGTAAGTCAGATAATTACCTTTCAAATACTTCTACATTCAAAAATCAATAAAAGTTGACTAATGAAGAATACATTAGTCTTTTACTTACTGATTACACACAAATTAATCTTTCATAAGATTGTCAAATTAAATATATTGTGATAATACCTTTCCTATATTCTGGGACATGTACATATATATTACTCCATAATTTCTGTTTTGTTGATTTTTCGCAGCACATCTCGTCAACAATTCGATAAGATTTAACATCACGACTAAAAAAAAACACAATTGATTAAATAAAAATTAATTTCTTTAAAATTGTTTCGTGTTATAAGAAGTCAAAAAGAATGTTTGAACGTTTTCTCCAATTATTAACCTGTTAATGTCATTTCTACGAACGAATCCGTTCTTAATTAAACTTAGCTAGATCTTAATCTGTATAGTGATACCGTAGATATTTTGGTACGTATATTTTATGATTCATTATAAATGAAAAAAGTGACAGTTCCATGACGTACATACATATACACGTATTCTTACCTTGGGAATTTCCGCTTTTCAATTTTTATTTACCTATTTTGCCTTGCGACAAAATAAAAATATGTACAGTAATTTTTTAATTTTTCTGTACAAATGCTTAGATTAGAAATAAATTTAGTTTTTTTTTTCCAAATTAAAATAAATATTTCTTATTTCTTCTATTTTGTTCGGCCTCCGTTTCGTAGAATATAGACGCATTTTCACGCGCCCGAGAAACGCAAACATAGACCATGCAAATAGAATTATGTTTGCTTGATCGTTTTTGACTTCCATCGAAAACTGCGCCAATACAGAAATAACAATTCGATTGTTCAAAAATTTGTCAACTAACTGTATCAATAGCGAAATTTTTTATTTTTATAGTTCTCTTTTACAGTTTGTAACTTTAATATTTTAAGTTATGTACAAAAACACATAGACAACATGTACAAAACAAAAAGAATTACTGTATGCAAACATATTATTTCTGATCGTATTTGCTTAAGACATTGTATTTATTTAATAATTCACATATTTCTTAAAGCATTACAATTATTTAATAATTCACATATTTATAATACTTGTATCAGTTTTTGAGCACTTCCAGATATTATGCATACTTTTATCATGATAGTATTCGAAAAAGTTATTACCTTAAAAATTGTGACAAATAATAAACAAATTTTATCGTAGTAACACATTTAGTATAAAATAAAGTCTATGAAAAGAGAATAAATAGTAGTACTAATTAAAATAAACAAGACTCAGCAATCGCTGTAGAAAAATCAAAAATAATATAGAACTCGATTTCCTTGGTTTGCTCCAAGAATGCTTGTTATAATTTTTTTTATCATCTCCTTGGAGCTCTAGAGCGATATTGATGTCTTCATATTGACTGCGACAAGGATTGATCTAGACATCGTTTCAACATTTACCCAATCAACAATCATTTGTGATGAATACCCTTATTTATCAGAAAATGCTGAAGAATCTATTAAGACTGACATCGTATATCTGGATGATATTCGACCTTGTAAAAACCAGTAATGAAATGAGCATTCCTTTAAAGATTTATTATATAATTTTCCGTTGCATTTTTTGTTAAATATCGCAAGCGAACTTTTCATAAATAATTGTTTTTTTTTTCATTGATTTAATAAACAGAAATTATCCTCCGTGTGTTCTTTTAATGTATTAATGAAGCAATTTTAAGATTATGCTATTAAAAGTGCTCGCCTCTTTTCTTAACTAACTACTGTAATATTTCTATTAACAGCCAGCTTATACAAAATTGTTTCCTGAAGAATAATTCGATGTACAGCAATTTATTATTGCTAAATAAAAATCTAAAGTAATTCACGGTTTTAAGAAAATTATTGTTTTTTTATTAAACATATAATTTAAAAAAAAAATTTCACATAACAAACAGCTGTAATTACGCCTGTTTAACGTAAAGTTTCCTTTGACGTCAGCTTTTTAAATTTTTAATTATGCCAGACAATGTACAAAGGTCTTTCTATCTTCCTCTCCTTTCTTCTATTATATATATATATCTTTTCCTATTTCTTATAATGCATTTTTACTTAACAATTTTCATTCAAAATTATAAATGCATCGCAGAATTTCCATCGCGCTCGAAATACCTCTAGCGACCAATTAATTAACTTTCGATTCAAGCGAGGCTTTCTCGAGTTTCCGTTGCGACGAAATCAAATCAAGATCTGCAGATCGCTGGTAAGGACGCTGGTCGAGGCGACGGTTGTCGTGCTCAAGCAAAAAAAAAGCAATAAAATAAAAAGTCTAGCATTTAGCTGGGACCGAAGCCTAATTCGGTCAGGGCAACGAAGGTGAGTTTTGCTCTGAGGGCCTTTGCAAACTGTCTCTTACATCGCCTACCTTGCTTGCCCCGATAACATCGATGACGGAAGCTTGGAAATTCGATTATAGGACCATTTGAAAGCTTCGTCCTCTCTCTTCTTCAGACGTTCTATTCGTGACATGCATACGCGATTAAATACGCGATGTGCTGCATATATGTATATGGCAAATAAAATAGTTGATGTAGACACTGTTTGCTAATCTAATATTTGTTGGACCATTTAATTTGTAAACAATTTTTTCTATTTTAAAAAAGACATTCCTAATTACGATAAATGATTACTCTGACTCATGTCGCGACATATCGATTGTCTTATCATTATGCAGTTATCATATTGACGAATGGAAAGTAACACAAATAGTTTATTGCAATCGTAATTATTACTTAAAAAGCTTTACATCACTTATGACAGTGAATGATGTGTTTAATACATGATGTTTAAAAAATCAACACAAGAAATCTTTTAAACGTTTGTTGTAAATAACTTTAAATCCAGTTTGATAATTATTACAATTTTTATTGTTTATTGAATAAAGGAGAAAAAAAGTTCAGAATTGTTGAGTGCACTTTGTGTGCACCGTTTATGCAATATCATATTATGATTTCCTAAGTGTTTGGTTTTTTACTGTAGTATAACTGAATTGTTTGCGTAGTATATATTTTTTTACGAAAAGTACTTTTAATTTTAAGCACTATTTAAAAACTAAATTTTCTTTATAAAATAGAAAAAAAAGATTTATACATTTTCTTATTTTAACTGCAGTATTTCTACATTATATTTTAACATTATAATCTTAACTTGTTAAAATTCTTTATTATCATTTATTCTATTATTTTCAAATTCTGAATTGTACATCAAAAACATAGAAGAAAAAATGATTAATTAACGATATTTTTCTTCTAAATCGCTGATTTGATTTTTTATTTTAATTCTAATTTATAATGATTAATTTATTTAACCATTCAATTACTTTAATGTATTTATTTTAATTATATACTATAATATACAGGGTGTTTCCAAATTAAATGGCAAAACTTCGGGAGCGTGTAGAGGAGTAAAAAACTAAGAAAAAAAGTCCTATAGACATATGCTCCTTTTTGCTTTGTTTCGCAGGAAATCACGAAAAAAGAAAAAAATATATTTAATTTATTATTTTAATTATTTTATTTATAAACTTTTTAATGAAGATTTTGTTCGAAATGTGCACCTCTTGCAGCAATACAAGCATTGCATCTGTCAAACACGGCTCTTGTAGCAGCCAGGCACTGTTCTTGCGATATTCTGTTCGCTGCAGCTACGATACGATTTCTCAAATGTTGCTCTGATTGAATAGGCGAAGAATAAACTTCTTGCTTCAGAGTACCCCATGCATAGAAATCTAATGGCGTTAAGTCGGGCGAACGAGTTGCCCAATGTACTGCTCCTCCACGTCCAATCCATCGTTGTGGGAATTTTCTATCTAACCAGGTTCTAGCGACTCTGCTGTAATGAGCAGGGCATCCATCTAATTGAAACCACATTTCAGTACGTTGTTGTAATGGGATGTTTTCTAAATAGTCAGAAAATTCATTCTCCAAGAAATTTAGAAAACGGTCCCCATTTAATCTTGCAGGTAAAAAAAACATTTTTTTTCGATTTCTCTGAAACGGAGCAAAAACGAGCATATGTCTATAGGACTTTTTTTCTTAGTTTTTTACTCCTCTACACGCTCCCGAAGTTTTGCGATTTAATTTGGAAACACCCTGTATATACATGCTAAAATTTTTAATCATATTTATGTATGTAATTTTGTATATCTTACTAAGTCCGTTCATCCACGCTGCTTTCAATTATATTTACATGTATATAAAATTGTTAACTTCTTGCACTAAAACAAAGTATTATTTAAACTTCTTTAATTTAAAAATATTTATACTATTTATAATTTTGATATCAAAATATATTTATAATTTTTAAAATACGTTGTGAGAAA